GACTTCCTATACGCATGCATAATTTATAATTATCAATTTAAGCACACTATAAAGAGAGATTGCTTCTTTTAATATTATCTTACAATAGTACACTCTAATGGATTAGACTACTCAATATAATATAATATATAGATATACAAGAATTATATCAAGATTCTAATAAAATATTGATAAACAACAGCAGACATGAATAATTTATTATGCATATGGAATATACTTTAAATGGCAAACGCTGTGTTAGTTCCAGACTTAGCATCACCATTCTCGCCACCCAAAACATGAGAATATCATGGCCCGTTTCCATCAATGTTAGCGGATAATGTCTTGTCATATCCTCCGTCTATAAATTTTGGTGTGTAAAAAAATATTCATAAAGTTACAATGTAATAAAATGTGTATAGAGAAGAATATTAACGTTTTCCGGCCAGCCAAGCGTGGCAAATGGCACAATTGTCGAAGAAAACCATGTGTCGAGAACATCTGGATCCTGATGTAAATTCACTGCGTTTCCATATTTCTTTTGTGCAAGAGAACGCGCTTCTTCTTCGGATCGTGCGATTATCCACGTACTGATATTATTACTATCAGAGAATATATTATTATCGTTATCTTTACCATCATTATGAATTATGGAATATGCTGGAATGCGATGCCCCCACCATAACTGTCTTGAAACACACCAGTCTCTAAAAAAAAAATATGATTTTTAAAATATAGATTAAATATTGCATTTTTAAAATTAATTTTGTTCATTCCTTTATTTATTCATCTATTTCATTATGTCTTTATCCATTTATTTAATAATTAAACACAATAATAATTTTACCTATATTTATGATTTTCGAGCCAGTTGTACCACATTTGTTCGTAAATGCCGTCCTCACTTGGATAGATTTTCAATTCACCATTCGCCACGGCTTCGTGCGCCCGCTTGGCCATTGCCGTACAGCGCAAGAACCACTGTTCCTTTGGCAAATATTCGATCACATCATGTGTGCGCGAACATAGTGGCAGTGTCATCCGATGATTATCTTCCACACCTTTCACCAAACCTCGTACGGACAGCTGGTCCATTAATCTTTTCCGTGTAATGAATCTCGGCACTCCCTACAATGATTATTAAATCATAATAAAAAAATTAATAAATATTGTATACGGAATCACACCTTGAATTCCTTGCATGCATCTGTCATGTTGCCACTTTCATCAATAACGCAAATAATTGGCAAGTCATGTCTTTTGGCGATGTTATAATCTAAGCGATCGTGTGCCGGTGTAATTTTCACTGCACCTATAAAACAAATACTACTCATCAATCAAATAAAATAAATCAATAAATAAAATAAATAGTAAGCCAATGAATAATCAAGTAAAAAGTAAATATATGGAAATATAGAATTAATTATAATACAGACAAAATTTTTAAAATAATTTCTAGAAATTTACTTTCTTTTTATTTCTGTATTTAATGTATATAAATGCATATAAATGTATACAAATGTATATAAATGTATATGAATGTATATAAATGTAAATTTATTCTAATTTGTCAATCTAATTTTTATAAATTTTTACCAGTGCCAAATTCTCTCTTGATCAAAGAATCAGCTATGATGGGTATAAAGGTCTCTCTTATTGGATGTAAAACATATTGACCAATATATCGCGAATATCTGTCATCGTTTGGATGCACGGCAATTGCTACATCTCCAAAAATTGTTTCAGGCCTAGTCGTTGCAACTATCAGTTCTTCCTCTGTGAAATAAAAGAAATAAAATTTATGTCTATTAAAAAGCTAAAACT